TTCCACAACATCACACTTGCCAGTTTGACAAAACCAGTGAGCTTGTTCACCTAAGTAGGCTTCAGCATATTCAGCGATGTCTGGTTCATAGTCATCTTCATCTTCAACTGCAAGTGGAACAGGTTCCGATGTGTCAAGTCCAGGAACAGCAACATCATGCCATTCATCATGGTCACGTCTCACCTTCGATTGATTAACACGCATGACTGCGTTGTCAACATGAACATTGACCATAGCACCTTCTTGAGAGATAACAGTACCTCTGATCCATCTTTCCTTCTTCCATGCCTTTGAAGCAATAGCATTAGCATTGACAGGGGAACTCCAAACGAAAACCTTGTCACCTGGTTTGTAAGGTCCATCTGATGGCATTGTTCGTTTGGCCATGTCATGTCTGAGGTCAGCAGCTTGTCTGGCTTCCTGATGTGCCCTCAGTGCTAACCTTTGCAACTCGAGTTGTGTTTTGTCTTCAGGTAAAGGATCAACACTAAGTTGAGCAGGATCAGAAGTCTCAATATCCAGAAGATCTGGTGGTCTTCTACCAGTGGCAATTTCCAAAGGAGAATAACCACTAACAGTGAGTTGAGTGTTTCTGGCCCAAACAGTACGCTTCACAGCTTCTCTGATGGTGATTCCTTTGAACCTATCATCTTCAAGGTTCTTGGACATGATTTGCCATTGTCGTTTGAAAAGTCTGACAGCTGATTCAGCTCTGTTAGGCCATGGGGTTCTTGAACCACAGGGACATTCCTTGATACCATGAGTTCGGTAATAAGTCAGAAAGTCTTCTTGAAAGAAAGCTTCATCACCTACAATGGCTTTAGGCATACAATTGTGTTCATCACTCCACAACCTTAGAGCCTGAATGGTCTCCTTGTTGTTCAGTGAGTTTTGTGCCGTAGCCCAAAGTAAGTTGGTTGCACCATCAAGAACAAGCAACACCATGTACTTGTTCTTCCTCAACTGAATTTCAGCATGATCAACAAAGATAACATCTCCAAAGTTGGTGGATCGTATGCCTGAAATTCTGGCTCGCGGCGGTGGTGCAATGGAAGTACTACACACACGACACTTGTTGTACATCTCCTCATACTTCTGATAGACAGAGTCAGGAAGTCCTAACATGGAAGTCCTTCGTCTGAATTGAGTAGGCGACATGTGATAGTGTTTGATATGAAGCTTGTAAAGTTCCACACTATCCTCCAGTTTCCTGAGCATCTTTCTGTATGCTGGTGTCATGGCTTGCACTTCACTACCAGGCAGTGGAATCGAAACTCGCCTAGGCTCAAGAGCATCACTACCTATTTTCTCAACTTGACTTTCTGAATCTTGCTTACCACGGTTGCTCGCAGGTGCAGAATGTTTCGGTTCAATGACTTGAGGTTCATCTGAATCAATTTTGTCCAAACCTAATTCCCTAGCTACCTTGTCAAGCTCATCCTCTTCATCAAGCTTGGGATAGGAGACAACAACTTTCTTTCTTGATGAACCTGATTGAGAGTCATCGACAACTTGAGGTTTCTGCTTACCTACGTGTCTTTTGGCTGCAGGTGGACCTACCTCAATCTTTTTCGAGCCTGGTCCATTTGAAATCGGTTTGCCTTCCTCCTTCTTTAAGGAGCTTGGCTTCTTCTTCTGTACACCTGATGGCACTGAAGAGGCTGACTCAGGGTGAAAAAGATCATCAATGTTTCCACGAAAGGGCTTTGCACGATCAATGTCACTTCTGACAATGTCATCTGGGATCACGTAGTCCTCCTTGATCTTGTAGATGGTCTTGCCCTTCCAGAACTCTTCACTCTGTTCAGAAAACCTCTTCTTCTCAGTGCGCCAGTTGTCCTTGTGAAGAACCTTCTTCTTGCTCTTCTGGAATTCCATGTGGGTTTCTCTCTCATCAAGAAGTTGATCTTTTGGAATTGGAGTTTTCTCTGATCGAGTCATCTCATGTAAGTTCATTCTCTTGTCCTTGTGGTGCCTGATGAGTTCACGACGTAGTGGATCAACCTGCCAGTAGTCACCAGTCACCAAAGCTTCTCCTTCATGATCATCTTGTTTGACAGCAATCTGGCTGTACTCAAAGTGATCGTGTTGTGAATAGAAACTTTTGACTTGTGGAGTCTTGAAATGAACTTGGCTCATGTACCATGCTACATCTTGTAGGTCGAGAATGAGATGAGTACTAATGGCTGTCCTCAAAACCATTTTTCTCATGCCAATACGTGCACAGGACAAATAAGCCTTCTCTGGAGTAAGTTCAAATTGAAATCCAAGGTTTCTCATCTGTGGAAGTGACATCAACAATGGGACATCACCTTCTTCGACAATGTCGAATTCTGTAAACTGAGTGTTCCATCCATGATCATACATGAATATCACGAGCTTCTCAGTACATTTTGATTGTTGTGAGTTTGCAAAGAAGAATCTTGAACTTGTTGGCTGAATTTCATACCAGAGTCCACTGTTGGGATGTGAGTCAACATATCTGCAAAATGCTTCAACTGCTCGTCGAGAGCCCATAGCTCTTGTGCATCCAAGATCCAGAATACACACAGTTGGTGGTGCAGAATTCTCTGTGTGAAAAGCTAGTCCATTCTCACATGCCAGATCAGTTTGTACAGTATGAAATGAAAAAGCACTCTGCTGTGATGGTTCCTCTATCTCTGTAGAGCATCCATGTGAAAACAATGATGTGCCTTCTGACAATGGCTTCCATGAAGCCTCACCTTCTTGAAGACCAACTTGCCTGGGCACTACAGCTGGACGTTGTTGTACACCTTGTCGTAGTGCACCAACTTCTCCAACCAGAACAGGGAATCTCTTCATTTCTCTCCTGTTTTGATGTGCTCTTGCATCACGTTGGTTCTGTCCTCCACGACGAGTACGTCGTTGTTCATCTTGTGCTGCATACGTGGATGTCAAAACATCAACACGTGCTGGCTCTGTCTCTGCAACATCAACACGTGCTGGTTCAGTTGTTCCAAATGAAAAGAAACCATGACCAGAACTTGAAGCTCCAGAAGAATAATGAGCTTGTTGAGTTGGTTGATTCTGTATGGCAGGAGCTGATGTGGTCTGAGGTTGAACATAGTTCGACTTGCCTTTTCCATCTCCTGGCTTTCCTCCTTTTCCATCATCATCCTTGCCTTTCTCCTTTCTTGCCTTTCTTTCCTTTTCCTTTTCCTTTTCCTTTCCTCTGGAAGTATCCATACTCATCCATGTAGTATGAATCATCATAGGCCCAATAGCCTTCATTCCAGGTTTGATCATCAGCCCAATAGCCGTCATAGTTCTCATTCCATTCATCATCTTGCCATTCATCTTCATAATCTTCTTCACTCACCATGTGAGCACGGCCTTTCCTTCTTCCTTTTCCTCGGCCTTTTCCTTTCCTTGATCTGAAGAACCTTCGTCCTCCTCTGCCTTTTCCTTTTCCTTTTCTCTTTCCTTTACCTTTGCCTCGTCTGATGTATTTGCCTTAGAACCTTCTCTGATACCATGTGAAGTTGGCGTCATCATAAACCCAGAAAACATCTTCTAAAGCATCCAGGAATCCTTCTGCGCCGTCTTCTTCATCTTCGGCCATAGCCGTCGGTTCCTTCTAATTCACCTTCATCCAGTACGAGGAAAGATCTTCTCTGTGCCATGCCAGAGGGTTGCATCAATGGATTGTCAACTGCTGTTTTGGTAGTGCAAAACATTTCCAAAAACAGGTCACGTAGTTCTTGAATACTGTATCGAACGAGAGTTCGTCCACGATGTGTCATGATACTTGTGAGTGTGTTTCTCTGATCTTGACTCAGGTCAGCTAGACTTACAAAAATCAATGCTAGCAAATTTTCACCCAGTGGGAATGCTTGTCGCTGTGCTTCTCTACGATTTTCCTGAAATTGTCTGAATGCCGCTAGTGCCAGTTCATCTGTCCAAGGAACAGCTACATGGGGTGTTCCTGAGGCTGCTGCTACTTCAGCTCTCTCTTGTTGATCTCGTTCATGTTCTTGACGTTGTTGTTGAACAAACAGAATTGCTTCAGGACTAGTCACTGTTACTTCTGGAAGTAAATCCATCCAAGACTCAATAAGTCTATTGCCAGTGAGTTGAAATCTAGTCATCCACTTCTGAAGATCCATGGTTCCTCTGTTGAACTTCATGAACTGCATGAAACGGTATAAGAACACGTTCTGGGCACCCTTGATGAAATGAGGTCGTAGAAATCTTTTGAAATAAGCCACTCCTTCATAGGGATCCCTGAGTAATTCTCTATCCAATAGCCTCTTGTATTGTTGAGCATCTCCTTCCAGTCTATTGCGCAATGCTGGACCACGTTTCTCTGGTTCTAACTCCGTAATGTCACACCAGTCATCAATTGCATCCTCAAAAGCAAAGAAGCTGGTTCGCCCATCATAGGCTGGAGCAACCTTTGTGGTCATCTGTTGCGTCATATGAATCTGTGTTTGCTGGGGTGCTCTTCTCATTGCATAAGAGTCATATTGGTTCCATTCATTTGCATCGACAATGCCGAAGTCATCATCATCATAGCCATGGCTTGCCATTTCTTGGGCTCTACCTGGAGCTCACCCTCAATGAGGGATCACTGCTCCGCTACCACTTGAAGAGGGGCCCTAGCGTCTACTTCAAGATCAGCTAAGGCGTCTTCCCCAATGACAGCACTCTTTTACTCTCAGCCTGTTGCCTGTCAGTGCTTGTCTACAGGGTTACTCTATATACCTCTTGAGCCTTGAAGGGCGCATATAAATGTGCTCAATACTCATGCATGTACCTATGTAGGTATTAGGTCGAAACAAAAACATGGGGGGGGCATGTCAACGTTCCTTGTACTTCGTACATTATACTGTGCTACGCTGCAAAGATCTGTGGCGTCGTTGCTACGTTACTTGTTTCTACGGCACTGTGGTAAAATCACAATTTTTGGACACAATGTGCACGCCGATGAGCACGGTTTCCGGTCTGGCGGGATGTTTCTGTAGCCCATGGCCGCCATGATGTTGACATATGTTGACTTTCATACTGCGGATGTATCGGTCCTCTTAAGGCCCTACAAACAGAGTTTTCCCGAGCTCTCCACCAGCAGCAACTGGCATCATGCTGCCCGCGGGAGCATCCTGGATGGCGATATCAAGGATGGGATCTTCTACGGGGTTGGCACAGATTCTTGGAAACAGCTGGGGGTCAACGGGGTCAACGGGGTCAACGGGGTCAACTGGACCGTGTTTGGGAAATATACTTATATAGATATTGTAGATTAATGTAGAAAAAGTAGAAATGACAGATTAACATCCTAGTTTTGCTATGTGTTGCTGGGCGGCCTTGTTTCAAGCCCTAGATTCAAACGGAGGGTTGTGGATTTGCTTTGCAGGCTGTGCGGAAAGACTTGGGCACCTGGAAGCGCGGAATTCACCTGCCAAAAAGCGTACAAGAATCACTAATAGCTGGTTGGTGGTTTCAAACATTTTTTATTTTTCCATATCTTGGGAATAATCATCCCAGCTGACTTTCATATTTTCAGAGGGGTTCAAACCACCAACCAGATAGTGTATAATGTGAGTAAAACAATAATAAACCATCCCCCAAATCACCATCTTTACAGCTGGTATAAACTTAGTAATGGGTCGTTTATTATTATTGGTTTACCCAAATTAGCATTTTTACTGAATGCGTAGATCCAACATGTTGCTTGCCATTTTACTTGCCTTTAGTTACATGCGTTTTACGTCTGTTTACTTCGCCTATCAACGGACCTTCTGACAGGACAATGGAACTTTTGCTGGAATATTTTTTTTTTGACAGGAAAAATTGGTTGACAAAAGAAAGGACGTATTGCCAGGAAAACGGAACTTCTGCTAGGAAATCGGAACTCCGACAGGAAAACAGCACTTCTGCTAGGAAACAGGAAGCTCTGCGAGGAAAACGAAACTGTTGCTACGAAAACAAGCTTTGAAAACAAGCTTCCTTGTTTTCCTGTAGCAGAAATTCCGTTTTCCTGGCGAATATGTTTTTTCTTGTCAGAAGGTCGGTTTTCAGGTCAAAAAATTGTAAAATTCCCTTTTCCTAGCCAAAGTTCCGTTTTCTTGTCAGAAGGTCCGTTTTCCTGTCAGGGGTTCCGCTTTCCTAGCATAGGTTCCGTTTTCCTGTCAGAGTTACGTTTTCATAGCCGAATTACCGGTTTCCGTTTTCCTGTCAGAGCTTCCTTTTTCCTAGCAGAAGTTCCGTTTTCCTGTCGGGGTTCCGTTTTCCTAGCAGAAGTTCCGTTTCCTAGCACAAGTTTCGTTTTCTTGCCTATGGCCTATGTCTGAGGGCCGAAAAGCATTTGCAGCAATGTTGACATGAGTGAAAAAATGCCAGCATTGATTGATCTGTCATCACCCGGTAATAAATAACCTATAATAGGATTTGTACGCTTGGAATATACACATTTTGTGCGTTCTTAGTGTCTCAGGTCCTTACATCATTGTTTTGTACGCTCTTAAAAAACGTTCTCTTTTTTAAGACATATCATATCATTTATTAAAATTAGCTTGTCATGAATTAATTTAAATGGACTTGCAGTCAATTTTTCCCCAGAAAAGGATCGGGGTGTGTTTGACGTTGTGGACGATGTGACAGAAACGGGGTTATGCATTTCTGTGGCAGCTCAGGACGGTTTGCTCTACCAGCAACCTCTGAAGAGCATGAGTACAAGCAGCCATTGGAAGCAGGCTACCAGCAGGCCTGGGGGTTGGAGTTTGCTGCATTGTGGATACAGTTGGATCCCTTCGACATACTGATATATGCTCATAGATCACATATATGTAATATATTGAATTTTTGCATCCATGTCACTCAGATATTAATTTATGTGTATATATGTATATATACACAGTTTATACGTACAATATGATACACTATGTACATGTATAATATAATATGCGAATATGGATTTATAGGTTCAGGATTCGGTTTGATGAAAAGTTTCAGATGTCATACTTCTTACTTTCCATTACCAATGCTTTTGAGACGATGATCCGTATATGCTACAAACATCTGCAAACAATTCATCATGGCTGCCGTGCAGACAACGCCAGGGGTGGTGTGATTTCCATTGCGATCCACGAGTCAACAAACCTACTCTATGGTGCGAACGGGGGGGGCAGTTTGTACAAGATTCCTTTGAGAAGCTTGGCTGAAATTGAGGCTCCTGACATCTTTGATTCTTTGATCATCCCCTTGTTCAGTGTGTTGTCGAGGGGGTTAGGGGGATGGTACATCTTTCAGGAATCTTCTGTGTCGATGTCGTTGAATTGAAACATCATATCTTCTAAAAATCTTCCTGCATGGTGAAACAGGGAAACATCTTCCTGCCAGCCTCATCTCCTATCATCCTCTCATCTGTATGTTCAAGGCTTCATGATTTGTGTCCCACATTTTTCCACGCGTTTCCAGATGCTTCCACCCTTCCGAACTTCCGAACTTCCGCGCCCCGAGACAATCTCGCTGGAAATGGCTGGGTGCACGTGCCCCACAACGGCAAATGCTACCACATCACCATCTCAGGCCGCCTGACATATAATTCCACAATATTCCACATATATGTGTGGGGATGAGTGAAAAGATCCATTGGCCACCTAATTTCGGGTGGTTGGGAACCAGGCTGAACTGACCAGCCATATATCTTCTGGATATGCCTGGATTATTCTAGCATAAAATCTGACATTTCACTTGCCCTGACCTGTAGTCACTGTAGTCTGACAGATAGTGTGACATATGTTTGAGCAAATATTCTGGGCTGACGCTAACTCTGATATATAGTCAATATATGTCAATATAGTCATCTGATCTGACAAATTTCATGTGACATGTATTCTGACATGTATTCTGAGATGTGCTTTGGCAAATTCGATGTGGCACGAATCTCCGGTCATATGGAAAATGCACATCAGTTTAGAAATGCAGCCTGACATTTGATCGTTGCAAGTTTCATGTGACATATTTCCTGACATCAACTCTGACATGTAGTTTGATTAATTTATTCGGACAAATGATAAATTACGTGTGGCGTATTCTCTGACATCTATTCTGACGTGTATTTTGACATGTGCTCTGGCAACACGTATTCTGACTCTGACACATTCTGACACAACTTCTTTGGCAAATTTTATGCGACATGCGCAAATATATCTGGTTGGTGGTTTGGAACATGAATTTTATTTTCCATATCATATATGGGATGTCATCCTTCCCATTGACTAATTTATAGATTCTGACATCTATTGTGGGGCAGCGGAGATTATGGGGCACAAATCAAGGGTTGGTGCGCACATTTTTTTTGTTAGATCTGCAGGATTTTGAGCTGAGGAATAGGAGTCCGGTAGGGATGTCCGGTCACAAAGTGTAGAGATCTGCGCCTGACAGTATTCTGTGTGTATTCTCTGTGTGTGTCCAATGATCCAATGATGTCTAATTTTTGTCTAAATTATAGATTTGTAGCAAGTAGGAGTCAGGAGATGCGAGTTTGGGATTTGCAGAATCCTGAGGATGACATGACAGAGATCCAATGAAATCGTTTTCTGGACGCCAAGGGGTGGCAGGCTCATGTGTTCGGAAGGGTGCCGCTTTACTGATTTTAAAGCTGACCAGACTAGTTTTCTTGTGCGCATGCTGTTGGCAGGCGATGACATCTACTGCAGGGGAAGTTCCAAGGACATGTTTTCACGGGAGTTTTGGACATGAATCAAAGTTATATCAGAGTTTAACAGAGATGTGTGCAGAATTTCACCTTTCACAAGCGTTCCAACGATTTCAACACATGTGCTATGATACTCCAAGCAGCAATGGTCAGTTCTTGGCAGAAATGTGGACCGATTTTGATTCGACCGCCAAAAGCGAAAGTGTTTTATTTTGATTGCGCGTGATGATTTATTGGTTTGTGATTGTCATGTTCTTTCAATTTCCCCTCGTTCCGTCAGATACCAGAGTGTCAGCCATATTTTCCTGCAGCTTTGCAGACTTCTACATCATTAATTATATCATTTTATAGCACATATTGCTCGCAACAGCAGGGGGCCAGCCGTTTCGCTGTGTTTCCCCGGCTCATTTTTTCCAGGCCGTGTGGTACCAGAAGCTTACCACACTGACAGCCTCGTCGTCATGGAAGAAGGTGGCCCGGGGCGACGTGATGTCCGTCTACGTCCCCAAGGCGACGGGTGTTTTTTTATTTAAGCGCTTGCGCGCGACAGCCGGCCAGGGGCCCATGTTGAGGTGATAGGGGTCGAGCAGGGAGGAAGAGCTCAAGGCTATGTTGCCCCATCGATCGGGAGGCTATGTAGGCAGCTTGGGGCTATCGGGGGGTAGCTTGGGACTAGGTGGACGGCGGTTGCAGGGGTTGTTCGTGTTGTGGTTGTGCTTGTGCTTGTGCTTGTGCTTGTGCTTGTGCTTGTTGTTGTTGTTGTTGTTGTTGTTGTTGTTGTTGTTGTTGTTGTTGTTGTTGTTGTTGTTGTTGTTGCGGTTGTCGGTGTTGTTGTTGTTGTTGTTCTGGTTGTTGTGTGTGGTGTGTGGTTTGGGGTTTGGGGTTTGGGGTTTCTGGTTTGTGGTTCGTGGTTTGTTGTGAACGGCTTGGGGCTATATGGGCCCATCTTGGGGCTATATATGTTGGCCTATCTTGGCCCATCTTGGGGCTATATTGGCCTATCTTGAGGGCAATTTGGGCCCATCTTAGGGCTATGTTGGCCCATCTTGGGGCTATGTTGGCCCATCTTGGACCCATCTTAGGGCTATGTTGGCCCATCTTGGGGCTATGTTGGCCCATCTTGAGGCCTATGTTGGCCCATGTTGACCCATCTTGAGCCACATGCTCCGAAAAATGGGAAAAAATGGGAAGAGCACAAAACACCGTAAAACGCAGGATTTTTTGACAGTACGCGGTGGGGGGGGGTGAGAGAATGCCGTACGGCAAGGACACGGCCAGCACTGGGCCCTGGCCAGATTTAAGCGCTTACGCGCGACAGCCGGCCAGGGGCCCATGTTGAGGTGATAGGGGTCGAGCAGGGAGCAAGAGCTCAAGGCTATGGCCCAGCTTGGGGCGCTGTTGGCCCAGCTTGGGACTATGGTGGCTTACTTTGAGGGTGGAGGTGGTGGAAAAAGAGTTGTTTGTGTTGTTTGTGTTGTGGTTGGTGTGGTTGTTGTGGTTGTTGTGGTTGTTGTGGTTGTTGTGGTTGTTGTGGTTGTTGTGGTTGTTGTGGTTGTTGTGGTTGTTGGTTGTTGGTTGTTGGTGGTTGGTGGTTGGTGGTTGGTGGTTGGTGGTTGGTGGTTGGTTGTTGGTTGTTGGTTGTTTGTTGTTTGTTGGTTGTTGTTGTTGCTGTTGCTGTTGCTGTTGCTGTTGCTGTTGTTGCTGTTGTTGTTGTTGTTTGTTGTTGTTTGTTGTTGTTTGTTGTTTGTTGTTGTTTGTTGTTGTTTGTTGTTGTTTGTTGTTGTTTGTTGTTGTTTGTTGTTGTTGTTTGTTGTTGTTTGTTGTTTGTTGTTGTTTGTTGTTGTTTGTTGTTGTTTGTTGTTGTTTGTTGTTGTTTGTTGTTGGTTGTTGTGTTGTGTTGTTGTTTGTTGTTTGTTGTTGTGTTGTTGTTTGTTGTTTGTTGTTGTTGTTGTTTTGTTTTTGTTTGTTGTGTGTTGTTTGTTGTTTGTTGTTGTTGTTGTTTTTTTTGTTGTTGTTTGTTGTTTGTTGTTTGTTGTTTGTTGTTTGTTGTTTGTTGTTTGTTGTTTGTTGTTTGTTGTTTGTTGTTTGTTGTTGTTGTTGTTGTGTTGTGTGTTGTGGTGTGTGGCGAACGACTTGGGGCTATATGCGCCCGTCTTGGGGCTATGTTGGCCTATCTTGGCCCATCTTGGGGCTATGTTGGCCTATCTTGAGGGCAATTTGGGCCCATCTTAGGGCTATGTTGGCCCATCTTGGGGCTACGTTGGCCCATCTTGGACCCATCTTAGGCAGGGGCCCAACTATGTTGGCCTATGTTGGCGTATGTTGGCCTATCTTGCGGGCAATGTGGGCCCAGCTTAACCATACTAAAACTGAAACTTTTCAGTTTTTTACGCGTGTTTGCCACATCTTGCAGCCAGCGAGCCTGCCAACCACAAGCTGCATGGCTTGGTGACGCATCCGCAACAGCAAAACACCGCCAAATTTCGTCCCCAATATTAAAATTGTAACATTGAGACTTTTCAGCTTTTTACGCATGCTTGAGAAACAGCAAAGCACCATCTAATTTCGGCGCCAAAAATTGGCTGCTGCTGCTGCTGTTGCTGCTGTTGCTGCTGCTGCTGCGGCTATTGGTTGCTCGTTGTTGATTGTTAGTTGTTTCACAACCTCTCTGCCCTGACGCGCTCCCCCTTGCCATGGCCAAGGTCGGCGGATTTCGGCGAATACGGCTACGCTTCAAATAGTACGAGGATTACATTTAAAAAAAAGATACTGTAGAGATACTAAAATCACGAAAAATGATGGTTTTGCTAAGATGGGAGGCCCCGAAAATTTGTTCAGCAAGAAAGAAAAATGTTGACATCGTATTAAACCCCCCCCTCAAACATTAAGAGAACGTAAAGAATGCGGAGCCCAAACAATGGCCTGGGGTCCCTGGATTTTTTTCAGACCTATGTATTCCCAAATGAATTACGTAATTGAAAACGAATACATAAGTGGTTTTCTTTCCATTTAAGTATTCCATTCCCAAATCATTCATTATTATATTATATAGGTGTTAGATGGCTTCAGGGCTACCCCCTTTGCTCGATTGATTTCTTGCATCTTTTAATAAAGGTTTAGTAGGGAAATCGGCCATTTGAGCCATCTTGAATTTGTTCAAGTCCAAAACTTTGAGGAAAAACTTGTTTGAAGGTTCCAGAAAGGGTTTGAGAAGGGTTTCCCCCGAAATCTACTGGGAGCGTATTTCAGAATACTTTATTTAGGGATATTTAGGGGGAACCTCTACATTCAGTATTTGGTTCATGGGGTAATGATTTGAGTATCTTATCTTTTCAAGAGTTAGAAATAGGAAACTAATTGAGAAACCAATCAATCAATCGAACCACCAAAATTTAGGCCCTTGAGATCCAAATACTTTATTTAGGGGGCATACAAGTGTTTTTTTATTTTGATGTTAATTTCAAGATTTCCCACAGAAAAAACAGATACTTTATTTGGATGTCATTTTATCTTAATGAATTCAATTACAGTAATTCGGTGGAAAAAACGGAAAACAACGAAAAAAACCCGAAAAAAACAGAAAAAAAAACAAAATCGGTCGGCGATCTTTATGATGGTGGGGTTTTACTATTTTGATCCGGGGGTTGGCAATCTTTATTTTGGTGTTTTTTTAAATACGATGTGAACATTGTTTGTTTTGGTGTGAAACAAGTTTTGGATCTAGATGGTGACATTGCTTTTGCACGGGGTAACTGTATACTTGTACTTATTCACGCCAAAAGAAGTGGTTCCTGCATTGAAGCTGCTTGCCGCATGTCTATATGAATTATTGATATGGCATTGTCCAAGAAAAGGGTACATAGTAGTATATGCCAAAATTCAATGTTTCAGAAAACCCATGAACAGCAGAATTTTCCAGGTACATTGTCTACGTTTGCCATCAATTCGGCCCATATTCCATTGAACAACCCGCAGGCAGCCGCTAAAGCCCTGGACTTCGAGGAAACGGATTTTGAGATGGGACCAGACTACACATCGCCACTTGACATATCCAGTTGATGAGAGCGCTGGAGCCAAGAGTTGATGTGGATTTCTTTTGATAAATCTGGGGGCAAGTCTGGTTCTTTGAGTTTTTGCATAGTACGATTGGAACTGGGCTCTCAGGGATGACATTGAGACCAATCACCCAATCGCACTTCTCGAGGTATATCTACGCCACAGGTACCGACCACACCGCCCCTTTGCTGCATACAACAGAAGGAAACGATTTTAGACATATAGGAGAGAGGACGAGAGCACCCTTACTGTTGTTGACCCTCTTGGTTGATGGTCATATAGTTCTTTTTGTTTGCCGCATGATGTTTCATGAAACTGTAAATACGTTTGGGTAGTTCTTGAATGCCTGGGAACCACAGACTGACTGTGTGTGACAATCCATCAGGTGATTATGTTGATCTTCTCCCAGAGTTTGGCAGCAAACCTTGTTTCCTGGTAAACATAGATTTTAAACCACTCATTCATATTGATATAGTTTCGTTTCCAAATGCGGTGTCCAAAAGCCAAATGGTTTCTCATTTTTTCTAATTGACATATGTCAGTGTTATATATACGTATATTGACATGGCTATTTGGGGGATTCATCCCTCATTCTCAGGCAAACCCATATGGTTTTTCCAACCATTCCATTTCCGGGCAGAAAAGTGAGGTCTTCCGACAGCCGTTGCAGGGGTTATCGACGGCCGGTACTTGGCAACACGACGCTCGGCACAGGATTTGTTTTTGGAAAAGCCTCAGATTTGATCGTAAATGGTAATTGTCTCAATACAGTAATTGCCATTTTGGAGGGAAAACCCATAAAAAAAGACAACACACCCATGTGTAACATTGCATCACTAACAACCAATTGGTTTTCAACCAAACATTATCACGCCTATAAAGTCGAGAAACTTCCGAGTTACAAGCACATGCCAACAGCTTTCATTCCCCACTCACCCAGAAAGTCATAACTATGCTGCCAGTTTTAGGCAGTTCATCGGCCACTTGATGGGGTGAGTCAGGAAGCGCTCGCATGTTTCCTTCATGTTTCCATTATAACCGAAACAGAGAAGCCCCGGACCAGTCACCCAGTGCGTCCGATGATTTGGTGAAAAATGTGGTCTTAATTAATTCACGAGTGGTGAGCCGCTATGTTCGAAACGTCCGCTCAGTTTGCCCAGATGGCGAAAAAAGATCCAAAGAAAAAAACACATCTGAATCCAGATTAACCCCAAAGTCGGAGCTTTATGACAGGAATGTCAACGGTTTATTGGGAAATTGGCTGGTTAAAAAAATCGAAAGATCTAAAGACGAACATGCCATTCGAAAACTTGAGCAGAGACTGCTTGATGGGTTTGTGTGTGTATATGCGCATGTAACCCATTCCAACCACGGATAATGTTTCAATATGTTTCAATCAAGTTCCCCTCCATTCAATCAGTTTGTTTATCCTTTCTTCCTCCCGTTTTGATAAAGAGTTTTCACGTGGCGTCGCGACGAAATCCTATATAGAAATGCGACCTCATGTCCATGTAGCTACTGTCATCCACGGGGGTGACATTTGGACCTCGCCCCTTCCTTCTGGACCATGAAGAATGAAAAAGTGTGGCTTTCTGTCTGAAGACATACCCGCATCAAAACAAAGCGTGGTGTTTTTCGCCGTTCAAAGATTTGAACAAAAAAATGCCTGCTTGTATGCCTCAGGGAAAGTCCCATTCTGATCCCACAACATCTTTTATACTTCATTCCTATTGGTTCCACTCACCAATCCTCGAAAATTCCATGAAATTGTGCAAGCTCAATGCTCGTTTAACCTACCATTCGGGGATAGGTTCTTACCAACCATTCATGGTGGGTCTATACCTGGCTAAAAACCACATTGCTGACGACTGACAGGTGGGAAAAGGAAGCATCATCAGCCTTGTAGCTGATGGCGAAGTGCTGATTGGCATCGGTACCGACAAACAGAGCCTCGGGGACAATTTTGGTGGGGTTTCTGATGATTTCTGGGGGTCAACAACAGCATTTTTAGTACCAGAAGGGGATGAAAATACTAAGTAAAAGTGTTGTTACCCTCTGGTAAACAGCCACATAACAATGGAAAATCACCATGCTATTAATGGGAAAACTCACTATTTCGACTGGGCCATTTTCAATAGCTATGTAAAATATTGTAAAATTACCAGAGGGTATATGATGTCCAAATGACTTGGTACCCAGCAGGATTCTTTGTGCTTCTGGCAAGTTTCAGGATTTTGAAGGGTTCCCATAATGGCTGAAAGCAAGCGAAACTCACTGTTCATGAATATATTGCCGGCAATTCTTCGGGGCACTTAAGTATCTTGCAACAGCATCGCCGCATCGCCAAGTCTCAAGGGTCATTCTAAGAACAGAATACCGAGCAACAATGATGAGAATACAATTATGTTGTATCACTATTGTTCTTATTATTGTCATTATGATCGTTACTATTCTCATTGATATATTGCTATAGCTGTTTTTTTACTCATAATTGTTATTACATGTTATTACTATTATGATACTACGTATGTTTGAAAATCGGCAAGCAGACAACAAGAATGTTGATGTACGAATGTCGAAGAATACCGCAGGGTTGCATCCCGCAAAGATGGTTGAGTTCGGAGAAACGCTAACCAGAATCCACGAAGGCATGTTGGTGAACCTTACCCTCTGGTAAACGTTTGCATAGCGAACTGGAAAATCACTATTTTTAATGGGTAAATCCACTATTTCTATGGCCATGTTCAATAGCTATGTTAGTTTACCAGAGGGTATTTTCCCCGGGGCCAACAATTGACAAATCTGGTTTGTATCTGAAGGGCTTCGTGTTGAGTAAACTCCATGAATCCTTGCGGTGTGGGATTCAGTCAGACGTTCCTTTCGTTGCTCATTCGAAGTGATGTTTTCGGATGGGAAATTTCATGGTCTTAGGCATCAAATGAAGCACTTGGATTTGCCGGTTAGGAGCCGAACACTTGCTGAGACATTCATTATGAAAAATGTTTACCCCGCAAAAAACATCAACAGTTAAGTCAATTCTTTTAAGTGATGTTTTTTTCGGGATAGCAAAGTCAGTTTCCTCTCCACCAACATCATCCGGACATTCTCTGGAGTTTCCCTGTCCTGAGGCCCTACAAACAGAGTTTTCCCGAGCTCTCCACCAGCAGCGACTGGCATCATGCTGCCCGCGGGAGCATCCTGGATGGCGATATCAAGGATGGGATCTTCTACGGGGTTGGCACAGATTCTTGGAAGAAACAACTGGGGGTTAACGGGGTCAACTGATGTCAACTGGACCCGTGTTTGAGAAAAATACTTATAGAATCTTATAGATATTGTAGAAACATGTAGAAACAGGTAGAAACATGTAGAAACAAAAACTGACATCCTAGGTTTGGTCCTTATAGCTAGACGTTTTTTGCTGGGTGTTGGTCTTGTTTCGGGCCCCAGATTTTAACCGCGGCTGCTTCGTGGAATTAGTTTGGATCCCCCAAACAGAAAGATTTTGGGGCACCAGAATCGATGCATTTCCGATGATATGTTTGGAAATCAATCCATCAACTCAGATGTGAAAAAGATGTGATGCACCTGCCAAAAAAGGATGGGGGTGTGTTTGATGTTGTGGACGATGGGACGGAAAGGGGGTTCTGCATTTCTGTGGCAGCTCAGAACGGTTTGCTCTACCAGCAACCTCTGAAGAGCATGAGTACAAGCAGCCATTGGCAGCAGGCTACCAGCAGGCCTGGGCTTTGGAGTTTGCTGCATTGTGGATACGCGTGGATCCGTCTTATTCATATAATCACATAATATCACATATGATATATGATGATATTATAATATGAGGGTTTCCTAAAATGGGGGTGCCCCTAAATCATCTATTTTCATAGGATTTTCCATTATAAACCATCCAGTTTGGGGATCCTCCATTTATGGAAACCCCCATATATTGTTATATGGGAGTCGTTCTAAAACCCACGCAGGACATTTAGTATTCGAGTGACATCTGCAGATATGGATGTGTATTTTTGCTTCGGTGGCGAAAGACCGCGAAAGGGCGGCGAAAGGTTCGCGAAAGGTCTGAATACACCTATCAGAATGTGATATACTATTCATGCTTGGCAGATATAGTTGCATTCATACAACCATTGAACAACATTTTTGCGATAGGAATGGGTTTTAGTATTGGAACTGAAAAACCCGCCCATCCTCTCATAAAAATCATTTTATAGGCGAGAAATCCGCGAAAGATTCGCGGAAGGTTCGCGAAAGGTTGGCGAAAGGCGATCCCACCTTTGCCCAAAATGGTCTAGTTTGTCTTGCAATGTTGCCACTGCAAAAACCCTTAAAAGTCTTTTCAACTTGTGTTTCTGTTGTCGGGCAATCTGCAAAACGACTTAGGCAAATGCTTCCACTTCCTTGTTTTCAACACAATCCTCCTGCCTCCTGTAAGTCTTTATTTCGATATATGCACACGAAAACATGATCACAATTCCCTGTCCCGATTCTGCTGGGGCGCGAAAGGTTTTGGGGTACCATAATTTTGAACAACCTCCATATACATACATATATTATGAAGAATTAATTAGACATTATTAGGAATTATGTACTTATTCGTCTATTTATTTGTTGATTTATGTAACTACTTTGCTTTGTATTGTATATTAATATGTGTATGCAGACACTCTATTATATATATGCATCATTATACATGGTCACCCACTTCTCTATCTGGATATATTCAGGATTCGGTTCTGGCTGGTGGCGTCGGATATCAATGCATACAACGCCAGGGGTGGTGTGATTTCCATTGCGATCCACGAGCCAACAAACCTACTCTATGGCGTGAACGGACAGGGCAGTTTGTACAAGATTCCTTTGAGAAGCTCGGCTGAAATTGAGGCTCCTGACATCTTTGATTTTTTGATCATCCCCTTGTCCAGTGTGTTGTCGGGGGGGTTAGGGGATGGTATATCGGTTAAAAAGTCAGACATCTTCCGTGTCGATGTCGTTGAATTTGAAACATCATATTTTCTAAAATTCTTCCTGCATGGTGAAACAGGGAAACATCTTCCTGCCAGCCTCATCTCCTATCATCCTCTCATCTCCATATTCGAGGCTTCATGATTTGTGTCCCACATGTTTCCACGCGTTTCCAGATGTTTCCACCCTTCCGAACTTCCGAACTTCCGCGCCCCGAGACAATCTCGCTGGAAATGGCTGGGTCCACGTGCCCCACAACGGCAAATGCTACCACATCACCATCTCAGGTCGCTTCAGGAAACTGCGGAAATACCTTCCGGATAGAATTTGGCTTGTCAATGTGTATTAAAATGTTGGCTGTTGCAAATTGTGATTGGTGTGGAAGCATGCTAGGCAGACAAACTTGCTGACATAGCAGGTTAGTGTGGGCAAAAATGGCCTTGAGCATGTTAAAAAGCAGCAAAAACACAGTGTAACACGTGGACATTGCATGGTTGGTTGGACGGATGAAAGCATAGGTACTTACCATAGACAAGGGGAAGGGGGTGGAGACGCAGACGAAGCAAAAACACAAAAACACACAGCATGAGATATATAAGTTTGGGCCAGTTTGGGACTTCAGACGTGGGTCGTGGAAGTGGATGAATCATGAGGGCGGATGATCCAACAAAGTAGTTGTTTGCCAAGTTGGCTAGCCTTAGCTCAAGTCTTCGGAAACGGAGAGATTTGCTGAGTTTGAAGATGTCCCAACTGGATAGTGGTTCCTCGGTGGCTGCCGCAGGTGATGACATCTACTGCAGGGGAAGTGCCAAGGACCAGTTTTCCAGCCAGACTTACAGCATGTTACCACATTTTACAGAATACGCATACACAATAAAATAGTATATGTATACCCTGTATACAAATATGTCTGTCCACTGTGTCTGTCCAAGATATGGGGCACCCCATGGCGTCCCTGTTGATCATCAGTTCCCCCAGATTTCAGGCCGTGTGGCACCAGAAGATTTCCCTGTTGACAGCCACTTCGTCATGGACAAAGGTGGCCAAAGGACCAGTGACCTCCGTCTTTGTTCCCAAGGCGGGACTGGATCGCAGCCGAGATGTAAACTGGGCAGAGCAGGGAGTGACAATGAAAATCAATGGAAAATAAGTCAAGTAATCAATGGTAATCATCAATCATCAAAATATATTCCGTTGATGTTTGAACTACAATGAAATTCTTCAACTGTTTTCAGAGAAGTCTTGTCTTTAGGGTCAAACTCGAATTTGAACAGTCGCAGTCCTTTGATTGCGTGTTGCGGAAAGGGGAAGATCTGCAGCGGCACACTCATCGAGAAAACTGACGATTGGGTCTCTTGGATTTGTGATTTGTGAACGGTCGGACGGCCATTCGGTGCCATGCGGATTGTTAAGTCAAAGCAAGTGAACTTATCCAAATTGCATGCCCCATTCATCCCATTCTAATCCATTCTATATAAATTCTATATAGTTTCTATAATAATTTACATGAATTTATATATAATCCTATCCTTGGTGTTGGATGGTTTCTGCACACAACACATCGCCCGAGTCGAGGCTTGTGATAAGATCACAGGGGTCAAGAAGTGCAAGTCGCATTACGAGCGATCTGGGACCAGCGACACCTACATGCAATGCTCACCCAGCAGAGCTATCCCAGGCAACAAGAACCTGGCGTGGCCAAAACTCTGGTTTTTGGGTTTTCGATAGCTTCTGGGGTTAGATTGTCATGGTATGTCATGATGTTTTGTGTGGGAAAAGTCAAAGTGTGTTTCCACACGTGTCAGGTCCCAGATTTTGTGTCAGGATTTTTCGGACCTCGAGTCGGATAGCCAAATAGCTAGATCCCACGTGTCAGAATGAATGTCAATGGATATGTCAGAATATGTGTCAGCCACCTGTCAGAATAGAAAAATTATCAGAATACATGTCAAGGAAACTGTGAGAATCAATCAACGGATCTTTCAGATCTGTTAAACAACATATTACCCTTTGGTTATGACTAACATAGCCATGGTATAGATGGCCCATTTATAGATGGTGTACCTGTTTCCAAAAGGCTGGATCTTTCCATGGCTGCGTGAGTCATAACCAGAGGCTAACTCAAGACGATGCCGTGAAGAAAAGTGTAGATGCCAGGATTGAATGTCAGAAAAGTGTCACTTACTTACATACATATACCATATTATATCATATTATATATTATATATATATGTGTGTGTATACACATAAACGATTACACAGATATTAATATACCAGAGAAGCTGTCAGAATATGTCATAAAATATGACAGACTACTTATGTTTGTAGTCGTTTATCTATCTTTCGGATCGATCTATCCATATCCATATCCATATTCACCTATCTATCTATCTATCTATCTATCTATCTATTTGTTTATCTATCTATTATATCCATCTATCCATGTCAGACTATAACTATATCCATCCAAAACTGTCAGATGATCAGAGACTCGCTTTGATAGCCCCTCGCAGGCTCGAAGATCATCAACTGCCTTGCCACAACCATTTGCTCGCCACCCTGAGATCTTTCCAGAAGGCCAGGGGACTTTCATGAAGTTCAAGTGCTAGCAGTTGTTGGTAGTTGTAACATGTTCAAAGCTAGATTTTGTGCATAAATATTTATGTATATACATACATTTTTTTCTAGGGGCCAATTCTTTACATATAAGATAATCGAGTTTCATGTGTTCTTGCTGTGCAGGAACATGAACTGGAACTCAAAATCCTGCGGATGACTACAACACCGTCACCACCAGTGTCCTTCTGATCAGTACTACTCTGGTCAACAGCACCATCATCGGCAATGACTTTCTTTGCCCAGTGTTCATGACTTCCCATACCCAAAGACCATATGTGGGAAAATTAATCGCCTGTGTTGGGAGTCGAAACAGATGCCCTACCGGACCTATAAACCTAGGTCACTCTACGGGTTTGTCCATAATAGGACACCCTCGACTAGAGTGGATTCTCATTAGTTTTCTTTTTGAAACGACCATTTGATATTGGGATCATTTTGGCCCCCCACCCTTGGGACAAAACTTGACAAAACATATGATAAAGCGGAAGACATGACGTAATAAAGCCACAACATGCCACAACCATGAGCCATCTCAAATGACTTGCCAGAAATGGCTAGGTATTCTGCTGCCTCGGTGAGGTTTTCGGTGAGGTTTTGGTGGCGGAAAAGACCATGAAACGATAGATTTCCATAGCCATGGGGGTATCCCAAGCTCGCTGGATGATTCATAACATGGAAAATCCCAAACAAAAATGGATGATGAACAGGGGTACCCCCATGACTTAGGAAACCCCCATATAACACAATATTATAATATAAAGCACCCATCAGATGAATTTCGGTTGGTGGTATGTTGGTGGTTGGTGGGTTCCACTATGTTTTGCTATAATTGCCTCAAAATGGTATATTGATTCCGAAGAAAAAATGCTGTACAGCTCGGTGGTTCCACCGTTCCACCAGCATAGCAGAGACTACTGTAGACACTGGGAAGGCTCCAGATTTGAACCAGGAGTTGCTGGGGGAAACTCTTAGCTGTGCATGTTCGCAAGTGAAAGATATGAAAGATCAGCTGTGGTAGGGGGCCTTTTTATAACTTCTGCACACTGTCTTGGGTCACTTAATTTCACCTGTGTTCTGCATCACTCCATTTGTTTCTGCAATATATATATATATTGTGTGGATGTCGACATGCAAAATGCTCCAGACTGGTGTTTTTTGAACTGATTGAAAATCTATATTTGGACATCCTTTGGCAATCAAAACTGGCAAAGGAAAGGCGCAGCCTTCAATATTGGTAAATAAGCTACAACTACGATTTGGAAGCTGTGCTTAATAGTGGCGGGAGGCTCCCAGCCCAAAGATTTCTTGCCAGGCGTTGCGTTGCCCTGCACCTTAGCGCCGCGGGACAGAAAATGAACTGGGGGGTTCCATAACTGGTACCCCAAAAAGGATGGTTTAAATAAGGGAAAATCCCATTACAATGGATGATTTAGGGGTACCGCCATTTTAGGAAACCTCCAACTGTTCCTGCTGAAGTTTCAGAGAGCTGAGGGAACAGAAGAGGGATGACGATCCAGAGCGGAGATTCCTGGATTTTTTTCCACACCATTCAGTCACTAAAGTTGCTAAGAAGTTTAGAATGACATCAAGATGTTAACAGGATTTAAGGGGATCCCATGAAATCTTCTTCCTGTTGCTGGGAGCAGGGCCCTTGTGTCATCTTCTTCTGGTCCCCCTCCAGCGAAATGGGGGCTGAGAAATATCGGTAAGAGAATCGTCCGCATCAAAATTACATCTAAATCAGCGTGATTGCGTACGTGATACATCATAGATAATAAGATGATATAGAATAAGATGATATATACTGGTTGGTGGTGACTGGAACCATGGAATTTTGAACGACGTTCCCATCATATTGGGAATGTCATCATCCTCATTGACGAAGTCCATCATTTTTCAGAGGGGTAGGTTGAAACCACCGACCAGATTTAGATTTAGCCTGGGACCGAGGCCACCAGAAGCCTCATCCTAAGCGAACTCGAAATGGGGGAAGTTCATAGCCGATGCCCGGTGTTTCAAGCAGGCTTGGTTTAAGGGAAAATCTAGAGGAAACCATAGATTTTCCCATGAAATATGGGGGGGGTTCCTGTAAATGTTCCCTTAAACCAATCCAGTGAGTGTTTGAAGGAACTATGATCAGAATACTCCTCCCTTCCATCATGGCCACATGCTGAATTGTATTCATGATAGCCGAGAACCACAACCGTGAAATTTGGACAATTACATGTTTTAGACCCCATGATATTTGCAAATACCACCTGTGTATATCCATATTCTACATATGATCCTCCTTGGACCCCCATTCACCTCCATGAAAAATCCAGTTGGCTGTGAATCCCAAGTGGAATATGTATTTGATCTGTATATTCACTTCTTATGTTCCAACTCCATATGGAAGAACAGCCTGCATCCAAAATGTTATATGTCATTTCCATGCACCCCTCTGATTCCCTGATGCAAATGAACTATATGATCTATATGATTACACATTCAAACATATCAATGTCACTATTGTATGGCTAGCTGGCTTCAAACATGTTTGATGTTCCACCCAAAAAATGTGATCCGAATTGATCCAAATTGACTAATTCGTGATTTTACATTACACCTTATATATATATACACATAATATATATATATAATTATATATACATAATATATATAAATATTGATTCCCATGTCGCCCAATTGGATTGCAGCATGTATGGTTCTGCGCTTCCCTGGGCTGTTGCCATCTCGCAGCATGGGACGTCAACGCTGCCGCAGCTCACGAGAACGGTGCTGGCCTGGCAAGGCGTCGGGGAGCCGGGATTATAGTGTGATGTTAGAAGACCATGCTGGATTAATGTGAATTATATTATAGTTAGATAGTATAATCCACATATTATCTAGTTGATAATCCATTAATTATAGAATCTATGAATATCCTATTATATATATGATTGAAATTGATTGGATATAAAGTCTTTGATTATAGATGATACCCTCTAGTAATAGCATAGCTAGCCGGAAAAACCAGAATTTGTTAGTTCGATGATTTTCCCTGCGGGCTAAACCTTCATTTAGTTCGGGGATTTCCCAGCCATGTTTGATTACTGGAGGGTAAATCCAAGGGATGCCCCCATTTTTCAGACAGATCTATGTGGTCGTTGATGGTCAATGACTATCGAACATGGGGGTACATTGATTATTCATTGTCTCAAAATTGTGGTACAGTGCCTGTTTTGATCTATACGATCTGATGCTGCTAGATAGGGGGGATGGGTCAAAACCTTTGATTGATTTTATTGCCTTGATTTTCTATGCAAATGGGGGGATGAATATTCATGAATATTCTGAATACCAGCCAAGGGTATTCAATTTTGGGGATGTTTATCAGAGTACAAGGGTTACCCAAGATTTTATGTTGCGAGGGTATTCCTTCATCACCTTCCGGTGGTGAAGCTTCTGAAGTATTGCAGTGGTTGACCTGGAGGTACAGATGGGATGATTGTGGAAAAAACAGGATCACTGTTTCCCATTTTGATATCATGGTTATCTGTCCTTCAAACGGTGGTCCGATCTGTATGTTCTCCTCTCTTTCTTTCCAAATGGACGGAGTTCTGGGATATCTCCGACCGGACCGCCAAAGCAATTGGAAGCGGGACCTAACACTGGCATGTTGGCAATGCATTTGGGTTTCCGTGATGATTAGCTCGTGTCTATCCCACATGTTGCTTCTTGATCCTGTACTTCTCAACTGGGGCTGAAAAAAACTCTAGCAAAATAAGATGGAGTTTAGGTGGATCCATTCCTAAAATTTAGTGATGCACTAAGTGTTTGGTTTTTTATGTTTTTTTGCGGGTTCCACCATGTTCCACCCATAAAAGTGGCCACAGGCAGATGGCAGAAGATTTTGCAGCTGCTGTGGCATCGCTCCAAACCAGACGTGGTGCTGCTGGGGGCAGCGATCGGCTCGCTTGACCGATGGGAGGTGCGTGTGGATGATAAAGGGGTCCCCATGAATGGGCATGGGTCAAAAATGGTCAAAACCTATGAATTTGCCATAGTTTACCGTATTTTGTTGAATAAATATCCATTCACCAGCTATTTTAGGCTAGGGATGGCTAGGGTACCAGGGTTGTGACCCATAACCAAAATTGTAAATAGCCAATAGTAGGTAAATGACAAGAAATGGTATGACAAACTGGCCCGGAAAAAAAATAAAAATCCTCATCCAGGACAATCAACTTGTTGGCGGTTGACGTCCAGATCCGGTGGTGAACCACGTGTTTTCCCCCATTCAAGTGGTTTTTTTTTGGGGTATACCACGTATACCACATTTTTAGGTACAGTTGATTATAGAGGGGTTGATTATAGAGATGGTATACCGAAAATTAGACACAACTACTAGGGGTTGATTTTTAGCTGTCCTTTTCCCACTGGATGGTTGATTATAGAGGGGTCACCCCAAAGAACCAATAGTCCAAAGATGGTATACCAAAGCGACCCCTCAAATTGTTTGACACTTTTATTGATCAGGATCTTATTTGATTTCTTGGTTTGAAGCATTCCAAGATGGCTCGATGGTGAAAGAATGTGAAAGCTGTCTCCAGTGTTTGAGTTTCAACATTTACAGGGTTGGGCAGTATGTTGTCAAGGTCTTTGGTAATTTGGCCCGACAAGACTACCAAACATCATGTTCCAAAGCCAATGTTTGGAGCATTTAGATAGAAGGATTCACTGCTCCAAAGGTCCCATCACTGTGATGCCGCATTTCGGGTGTCCATGATCATTGGGATTTGGGCCATAAGTGGTCCTCTTCCAATTTCTTGTGGATGAATGGCAACCATTTCAAACCATTTCAATTACATCGTTTTAAGTTGTGTTGATGTTCACCATCTCAATATTCAATTTCTCTGGCCATTTGGCCTCAAAAACCAGAGGCTTCAATGGCTATGTTCAATAAATTCCCATTTTCAGGAAAATATGACCCTTGGTTATTATTACCCTTTGTTATTTCGCCATATTTTCACCAAAAAACCTTGGCCTCTGAATTCCTGCGAGGCCTCCGTTCATCTCCTGCAGCATTTGCCGGTTCTCCGGCTCCGTCGGACGCGGCGGGCCTACGGCTCCCTCTTGCGCGCCTGCGAGCGAGCGGCGGTCTGGCGCAGGGCACAACTCTGCGGCTTGGACGGGATGAACCTCTGGTAATTTAAAATTGGGATTTAATGGGATATAATGGGATTTAATGGGATTCAATGGGGTTCAATGGGATTCAATGGGATTTAATGGGATTTAATGGGATTCAACGGGATTTAATGGGATATAATGGGATTTAATGG